AATATCCCTTTTTTTGCAGGGGAGTTCAGGTCAATACCATTTTTTTTTCTTCATGATAAATGAGTTGGAATGTGGCGGCTTTGTTTTTTTTTTTTTTTTGGAGGGAAGGAGGCGTAAAAAATAGTAATTTGGGGCACGTGCCCTAAAGGTATTTTTTTTTCTTTGAAAGATTTACAGGTAGAGTCGCGTGTTACGAAGTTACGTAACGAAAAAGAGACGATTCCGCGTAAGCGAAGGTCCCAATCATTAGGGCTTGTTTTGTTAGCCAGGAAGAAGGAAGAAACTGGTTTCTATATATATATATATACTGTTATGGGCGAAAATCGCGAAACGATCCTCTCTCTCTCTCTGGAGATACCAATCTTTAGTGTGATTCGTTTAACGAACCCTTTGTTATTCTTTTCCTTAGCGAGCACGCGCTTGATATTGGATGCGCCTAAAAATCTCCTTCTTTCCGCATTGTCTCAAAATGGAGAAAGTCAATTTATTATTATTTTTACAAAAAAAAAATATAATTGTAAATTTTTTTTATTTATTTTTTATTATTTTGATAAAAAAAATATTACATGCAATAATTAATTAAAGTATACTTATTTCTTTTTTATGGTTAAATAATAATAATAATAAAAATAATAATAAATATTTCCAAAATAGGATAGAAGTATTTTCATTATTAGAGAGATTCTAATTTTTATGCAATTTTTTCCAATTAAATTCTTCTCAGAATTGAGAGAATTTTTCCTCTTAAGAAGCTTCAAACCCATTGATATAACCTCAAAATTTGATATTATCATCGCAAATAAAACTATAAGAAATTTTTGTTTTCATATTTTATAAAACCTATTTTATCAATGATTAATCAAAGAATTAAAATTTCAAAAAAAAATTTACTTTTTGAAAAATCTAGTTGTATATTTAGTGTCGAAAGTAACAAAAAAATAAAAATGAAAAAAATAAATAAATGTGACGGACAATGCATTCGTGGCCGGAAGCGACTTCGTTAGAATTTCCGTCGAAGTGAGTCGAGGTCAAAACGGAAATTTGTAAAATGCGCTTTTGATGACGTTATATATATATAGAGTCCATTGTAATATGAAATATTTTTTAGTTCTACAACACAGAGCATCCTAACGAGTCCTTGAACACGATCATAAATTTTTTTCTATTCCCTTCTTTTTTTTCTCTTCATCATCATCATCATCATCATCATCGAAACAGAAAAAGAAGAAGTGAGCAATTTCGGATATAAACATTCTTTTTTAATCGACTAAAAATATCGTCTTAGGACAATTATTCACATTTTCAAGGAAAGATAACAAAAAAAATTTGTAACGCGTGCAATTTTTTTTTTCTTGAAATTAAATAATAGTTATTATTATTATACTAATTGTTTCGCGAAACATATGAAATTATTTTTATAGACAATTTTTTTTCATTTTTCTACAAAAAATATGGTTTGAATGAAAAAATGAAAAAAAAAATACATTTCTTATCAAAATTTAGGAAACAAATTTATGACATTTTGTATAAATTATAAATTTGCGAAAATTGAACAAAAAAAAAAAAAATTTGTCAAATTTTTTTACTTTACTGTAATGTCTATATAAACAAATTATGTTTCTGGAGATGAATAAAAGCTAAACAACTAAACAACGGACCAAGCTTGTCCGTTGTAATTTGGTTCAAGGCTGCATCTCTGATCGCTGCGGAACTAATCTCGTATTGTAAGAGAGGCCTGTATTCGCAAAATGGAGGGGAAAAATAATAACACTGGGGATCTAATTTAAATGGGTGGAAGAAGGGAAAAATTTTATGTATTAGAATCATCCCGCGCGACAAACGAGAGCTTCAAAAATATATAGAGCAAATAATAAGAAGAAAAGGATCAAAAAGTAATGGGTCAAAAAATAAAAAGTTTTCCTCTATGCCAAATGGTATAGTTTTAACAGGTTTTTTAAAAAATGAAAATATAAAAAATTACCGACCTAGAAATCTACATTACCGACTGATGGTAATTTTTTTAAATGAAGATATAAAAAATTACCGACATAGAAATCTTCATTACCGACTGATGGTAAAACAGTTTTCTGAAAAATAAAATATAAGAAATTACAGACATACAAATCTACCTTACCGAGTGATGGTAATTACCGACTGACAGTAAAACAGTTTTGAAAAATTTGATAAAATTTCCAACAAATTCTTTACCATCAGTCGATAAGGTAGATTTCTATGTCGGTAATTTTTTATCTTTTCATTTTTCAAAAAACCTATTGTACCATCAGTCGATAATGTAGATTTCTAGGTCGGTAATTTTTTATATCTTTATTTTCCAAAAAAAATTACCATCAGTCGATAATGTAGATTTCTAGGTCGGTGATTTTTTATCTTTTCATTTTTCAAAAAACCTGTTTTACTATCAGTCGGTAAGGTAGATTTATATGTAGGTGATTTTTATATTTTCATTTTTCGAAAAACTGTTTTACCATCAGTCGGTAAGGTAGATTTCTAGGTCGGTAATTTTTTATATTTTTATTTTTCAAAATTTTTTACCATCTTGTTAATTTGTTAACCATCTATGTATATAAATATTATAAATTATATTACTTATATATATATATTTATATTTATATATTTAAAAAAGAAAAATATTATATCGTACGAGGTCGTCATATGATCGTTGGAAAGGTCTTGGAGTCATAAACAGGCTGGTCACGTTTTCAAGTTTAATAAACAACGAATCTCTCTTTTTTTCTCCTCGCCCAGACTATGTATATATATATATATATATGTATTAGTGGGGCTTGTCTATTTTCCATTCAATTGTTGCCGGCATGAAAACTCTCAAGGTTGATCTCGCAATAAATATTGCGACTTCATGGAGTGGAAAAAGGCACTTCATTCACAAGAGACATCATTTTTTTACCTTCTGTCTTATATACGATTTCTTCTACGTATATTATATATATCTCTTATTATTCAGGTGAGAATATATACTGATTCTTTTTATTTTTTTTTTCTTCGAAAGTCCAATATCATGTTGAGGGTAAATTTCAATTTTTTTTTTGATTTCATATATGAAAAATTTGTTTAAATAATACCGCTATTCTGAACAACGAAGACCTTTTGAAGACATTATTCTTTTTTTTTACAATAATTCCGGTTACTCCATCGAATTCCTTTGTTGATTCGAATCGACTGGAGACATTTGATTTTCAAGGATTCGAAAGAAATATGTCATTGATTTGCCACTAGATCATCGATCAAGCATAACGGCACTAATATATATGTGTCATTAGAAGATCAAAATTCCTTCAACTTGAAAATTTTCTTCGCATTTTTTCTTGCTATTGTAATTTTCACCAAAGTCTTAACTCGAAAGTTGCCTACAAAAAATTTATTGTACACTTTTTGATTGGTCCAGCGGATGCTAAGCTAGGTTTTTTTTTTTAGTCATTTTCCACTAAAACTTCAGTAAAATAAAATATTACTAAATCAAATAGTAATAATTTACTAAAAATCCAATGAAATTTTCTACTAATTAAAATAATTGAACAAATTCTAATTGAAATTCAAAAAATTAGATTTTAGCTTAATGATTGACAAAAGTTGAAACAAAAGTAAATGAAATGAAAGATGAAAAGCAGACACAAGAAGGTCAAGAATGAGAATTACCTAGTTTCAACATCCTAAAATATATACATTTGTACTAACGATCCACTACCGGTCTGTTGTTATAAGTAACGATCGTCATTACCGTCATCATCATTATCATCATCATAATCATCATCGGTATCGTCAAATACATCATGTTTATTATTTTCTTTCGATCTCTAGGTAGACAACATATAGAATGGCATGACAAGCAGACTCTCACAACCTTGACAGTCGACCCGATCGCTCTCCTCGACTCGTTCATTTTTTTTTCTTCTTTCAAAACCGCACTATAAACACTACTAAAGTAAATCGTAGTTTTTGCAAAATTGCACTTTAAATAACTTTTTTTGAATAATTTTTGATTTTTTTTTTAAATTTTTATTCAACTGACTTTCCTACTTTAGCCATAATCAAATTTTTCTTAAAAAGAAATTTTATTTAACCGAATTATCTGTAGAATTTTGAAGAATTTTTAGACAAATGAGAATTAAATTTACTTAAAAATATTATCAAATGAAACAAGTATGGTTAAATAAAAATTTAGATAAAGATTTAAACAGAAATTTTGTTTGTCACTAGTAAATTAAAGTAAATTAAAAATGAAAAATCGTATATACTATTATCATTGAAGTTAATAAATTCATAATACAAAATAGCCTCTCTACTTGAAAAAAAGAGGAGAATAAAACAATCAACCGTCGTGTAATGAGGGAAAGTTCTGATTAATCGATTAATGTTTTGCTTCTCGTGGACAGTAAGTCATTGACGACAAAACATCTCACAGCAATAATAATTATACTTTATTCCACCTTTGACTTTTGAACCTTTTCTCTAATTTTTGCTCCCTCTCTCTCTTTTCTCCATATCTGACAGATGACAGATAGTGAGACGTTCTCCAGTCAGTGAAAAAAAAAAAAAATTAAAAAAAAAAAAAAGACCTATGCTATTTTTGGGCAAACATCATCAAGGCCACAACAGACCGTTGCCTCATATTCTCTCTTTTGTTCCTTTTATGTGATCCCTTTTCTTCCTCTTTGCTTTATTTTTTTCCTTTCTTTTTTTTTTAGACAATTTCGGCGCCTGCAAACGTTTGACCTCGACTCGACTTGTTCCGCGTTTATATTGCGACGAGAAAAAAAAAAAACCAAGAATCAAAAAAGGGAACAGATTTAGAATTGTTTTATGTGAGAATTTTGATTTAGTTTGTGCTTTCAAAAATTATTATCCACTACTCAAATTGAAAATTCCTCCAAATTTGCGATAAATTTTTCAAAATAAATCGAAATTTTTTTTTTATTTTTCCATTCGATAATTATATTTTAATAAATATTTTTTGTTTTCAGGAAAACAAGGCAAAGATGGACCCGATGAGAAGAAGGATGCTGACGGTGAACTTTGGGGTAACGTCGAAGCTCAAGCTGCTTTTCTTGGACCAAATCTTTGGGACAAAACACTACCCTATGATGCCGACCTGAAGGTATTAAATCATGTATGTACTCAAACGCGAGACGGTAAGCCCACCAAAAATGAACTCTGACTTGAATTTTGAATTTTTTACCAAAAAAAAAAAAAGAATAGAAAAAAAATTTGTTTTTAAAAAACAAAATTTTGTTTTGACAAAAAAAATCAAAAAAAAAAAGAAGACGAAAAAGATTTTTTTTGCACTGTGCACGAATCATCCACTAATCAAACCATGAATCATTATTCCCAAAATTACATATACAGAACTATAAAAAATAATAATTATAATAATTATTGTTATTATTATTATTATTATCACTCCCAGTGAGTATACTTTTTTGTAATCTATGCATTTTCTCGGAAATTCAAAATCTAAACATGACATCAAACCTGAGTGTATGTCTCAAACAATCAAAAACCTATTATTAAAATTAATATAAAACTTGACAAAACGTGAAAATCATTAAAGAATTTTCCTCATAGTCACGTTTTAGAATTTTTCCACAGTACCGTATGTAGAAATGAAATGAAATATTCGATTTTTATTTTATGTACTAAAAATAGAGAAACTTTTTTTTTTTAAATAATAAATTCATGGTTTTTTTAATTTGATTTTTAAGTTTCGGATCGCCAAAATTTTTTTTTCAATTCTATTTTTGTTTAAAAAACGAAAAAAAAGAATAAAAAATTTTTTTAGAGGGTCCGGAACATAAAAATCACCCTGTTTATATATAAATTAATTGTAAATAATTGCATGCTGATTTTGTTCAACACACAATAATTAGTTTAATTAATTTTGAACAGTGGAAACGAGTTTAATTATTTATTATTTCATATTTTTTAATTAACGCTGATAAACATTTTAAAAAAAATTATTTTATGGGGATTCGAACGCACGCCGCATAATTCAAAGCATCTAATTCAGATTTTAGCGCGCCTTAACGATTGTCACCAATGCATGTCCAAATTTTTTTTTAACTAATTAAGTTATTTTAACATTCCTAAATGCGGTTTGAAGCAAACCAAAACATTTTTTATTAATATTTAATTTATATTAATTATTTATTATATTATTGAATGTAAATTTCTTTATTTAATTAATTAAAGTAATTAATTTATTTATTTCTTTATTTATTATTAAATTAATATTAAATATATTTAATATTGTCAAATGTTTATTTGAATATTAAACATTTTGTCGAATAAGAAAGTTCAATATGAAATTTTTTTTTTGCCTCCTGATGGCAAAAGTTCATCGATCATCGTCCCGGGAAATCTGCATCTCTCTGATGCGTACTTGGAACGTCCAAACGTTCTCTTCCTGTAGTCATCGAAAACGGGAAATATAGTCGGAAACCCAAAGCAGTTTTGCGAGAACAAGTTTGCACAGTAACTTTCTCCGTCACGCCTTGACAAACGAGGAAGTTTGTCGAAGGTTTTTAAGACGTCGATTCTCTTTTCCTATATATATTAATTCTGTTTTTTTTTTCTTTCTATTTTCTTTGTAGTTTTTGCCAACATTTTTTTTTTAATTTTTATTTTATCATCACTTGGTTTAAAAAATCAAAAAACCAATTTCCCTTATCGATCATCAGAAACGGGAGTATAAATATATTTTTAAGGTTTGAACGAATTTATTATAACGGCCTTGCCACCTTTCGCTTTTGAGCTCGCGAACGATGTCTTATGGTAGACTCAACTTTCTCCCTCACATAGCAGTGATGTCAATATACACGCGACGTCATTGCTGCTTTCGAAATTTGTTTTTTGATAAAAGAAAAAAATTCTTGAAATTTTTTTTTCATTTTTTTTCTTGGCTTTTTTTTAGTTCTATATAGCATTTTTTTTTTTTTTTTTTTTCAATGAACGCGCAATTCGGGGATTAAAAATGTGAACACGAACGTACTTTCGCGTGAACGATGCAATATTCATGCACGAACCCCGTTTGGTGGGACGTGCAAACCGGAATTTTTTTTTTTTTTAGAAAGAAAAGAAAAAACAATGATAATTATTTTTGTATAAACTTGGGCGAAAGTTGTGCAGTGAATTTCACGTTTATATTTTAATTTTCATACGAATTAATGGAAAAATTAATCCATTAATTGTAAAGTATTTAAATATTAAGTTTCTGTACCCAGAGAAAAATTTTATTTGAACCAAATATAATATATTTGAGTTAAATAAACTTATATTTGTCTCACAGCCCACTAGCCTATTTATTTAGCATAAATAATTTTTTTATTTAAATCAAATGAATATTTATTTAAATCAAATAAAAATTTATTTAAATCAAATAAAAATTTATTTGAATCAAATAAATATTTGAGACAAATTTATAATTTCCCCGGATGAGGAAAAAAGTACACTTTTTCCAGGAAATTGAAAATAATTTCTTCGTGTAATTATTAATAATTAATATAAATATTAAAATGCTCCTTTTTCTCGTGATATTCATAATGATCATGTGACGAACCTTGATTTCTCATTGACTCCAACATACCCTTCCCTCTCGACCTTGACTTTTTTTTTTGCCGATAACGATTATAAGCGATAGAAAATCGTTTCCACTGTCCAATAAACACATTGATTAAAACGTCATTCATTAGAATTAGACTTTGTTCTTACAATAAATCTCTCAAAAAAAAAAAGTTGCTTCAATCATCGTCTTTTCATTATTAAAATGAAATAATGATAATAATAAGCTTGTAAATTTCTTTTTTAGCTTTAAAATTTTTTTATTTTGTACAATTAGAAAATAGTAATTAGTCTCATTCAATGTTTGTTTTAATATATATAGTTTTACTATAATAATATGCATAATTAGATTGATTTTTGATAATTATCATTTTAATTAGATTACACTGAAAAAAAAATTTATTTGATTTAAATACTCGACTATTATTAAATAAATATTTACTTGAATCAAATAATTTTTATTTTAATTAAAAAAAATTTTATTTGAACCAATAATTTCTGTATTTTAAACAAATAACATATCTTAGATAAAAATTATTTGATACAAAGAAATATTTATATGTTACAAGTAAATATTTATTTGATACAAATAAATTTTTTTTTATAATATTCAAGTAAACGATTATTTGAATCAAATAAATTTTTTTTTTCAGTGTACATTTTTGATTAATAAAGGGAGATTTTTTTTATTATTTTTTGAGAAAAAAATTGATTTTTAAAAATGAATTGATTTTGTAGATGTAAATAGTTTTTGAAAATTATTATTTCATTAATATTTAGTAGTTTAAATTAATTAGCTATTTCCTGTATATAATAGAAGTGATCTTTTTATAGATTTTTTTTTATAGACAAAAAAATTTTTGTTTTATAATTAGATCATATTTTTCATAACTAGTTAGATTTTTTTTTTAAAGAAATTTTAGATTATATTAATTTGAAATTAGTTTAGAATTAATTTAGAATTCGACTTTTTTTCAAATTTTTTTTTTCACTTTTTTCCGAATTTTTTCTCTCTAAATAAAACATTTAAGTTACAAATTTAAATTGATTTCCTATAGAAAACAATATACAAAAAGTTTGAATTTTAGTTCTGTGTGTTTGATTTTGTTTTTCACATTGAAAAAAAAAAAATGTTATACGGCACGACATGTTACAAGAAAATAAAATAATAATTTATTTTTAAACTAACTTGAAACTAACATTATTCTCCTTTTTTTTTTTTTTTTTTTTTTTATTTTCTATCAACTTTTTTTCAATTACTCAAAGAACCTCGAAAAATAATTGGAGAGAAAATATCTGATTTCATGTAAGAACTATTTTTTTTATTTTTTAAAAAATCAGTAATTAATTTATTATTAGATTAATATAAATTACTAGTAAATTAATTATAAAATTATTTTATATTAAATTAATTATTTCGAAATTTTATTTAAAATTATTATTGATTTATTTTAATTAATTATTAAATTTTCCCCTTTATTTATCGTGATTTTCTCTCTCGAGATTTTTGTTAAAAAAGAAAGAATTAATTTTTTTTTAATTAACAAAAATAGAAAATATCCTCGTGTTTATTTTTTCTTGCGTAATGTTTTTTTTTTGAAAGCATAAACTTTTTTGAATTTGTTATTTATATATTTAATGGAGAATCTTTGGTATATAAAATTTTGATTTTTTTTCTCAATTACTTAATATAGTACGTGGACCTGGATGAATTTTTGTCTGAAAATGGAATCCCGGTGGACGGAGGAGTGGCTGGTGGTGGGCAGGGTACAATGCAGGGAGGTCAACTTCACAAGATCAATGGAAATGATGTTACCGGTCATCAGGGACCAGCAGGTCTTCATCTGGAGCCAATAACAAAACGCGAGAGATCACCATCGCCTAGCGAATGCTGTTCACCAGACACCTTGAACCCGCCATCACCGGCAGACTCCAGTGAGTCGATATTCACATCTCTCTCTCTCTCTCTCTTTCTCTCGCGTTAATCCTGATGATGATGCTGATGATTCAAAGACCCTCGCCCCACAATATCGATCCTGATTTTATTTTTTTTTAATAATAATAATAATATTAGTTTTTTGTTTCTTTGAACAAAAAAAAATATTTTATTTCTTTTCGTTTCAAAAAATTTGTTTTTATCTTTTTTAAATAGGGAATTTTATTATTTTTTTAATTGAAAAAAAAACTTTTTTTATTCAGTCAGTTTTAATTTTTTGTTTGTATATTTTTAATTTTATTTGTTCCAATTTTTGGTTCATTTTTTATTTTTTTTATTAATATTTAATTATTATTATTTAATTTAAATTTATTTATTGTCATTAATTGAGCTGCTGGATCAAAGAAGGGCACATAACTAATGTAATTCAAATGGGTTATATGCCCTTCTTTGATCCGACAGCTCAATTTTTATTATTATTAAATATTATTGATTGTTAATTAATAATTAATAATTTTAATTATTATTAATGAGTTATAACTTTTTTATTGATATTAAGATTATTATTAAAGTTAATAATTAACTATTATAATTAATTTAATTAAGATTAGTATAATTATTTTCAATTATTTTCATACCTGTTTTTCAATAATTGAATTAATCATTCAATAGTAATTTAAATAATTACTTTTGTTTTTTCTTTGATAATTTATTTTTTTGTTCTATTAATTTTTGTTGTATTAATTTTTTTGTTTTATTAATTTTTTGGTTTTATTAATTTTTTGGTTTTATTAATTTTTTTTGTTTTATTATATATTTTTTTTATTAATTTTTTTTGTTTGATTATATATTTTTTTTATTAATTTATTTTTCATTTAACGAAAAAAAAATGAAATATTTTTTTAGAAAAAAATCAAAGAATCTTTGAATAATCAGGATCAATGTCGGACACGGTGAGAGCGTAGTAGACAATTTTTTTTTTTCTTTTTTTTAATTACTTCCAATAGTAACTAATGTAGTCGTTTAAAATTCCCCAATTGAGAATTAGAATCCGTGGATTCGTCACGAATACAATATGGCTTGTCTCTTGTAGCGCTCTCGATGGCGTCATCGGGGCGAGATTTCGATCCCCGGACTCGCGCCTTCTCCGACGAAGAACTCAAGCCCCAGCCGATGATCAAGAAATCCCGAAAGCAGGTGAGGCTATTATTTTATGTTTCATTTCTCAAAAAACAACAATTTTTCTCTTTATTTCATTTATTTAAATCTGATCTAATTTTATTTTTTCAAATTATTTTTACTTTTTTTTTTATTTTTAAATTATTCTTCTTAATTTAAAACTAATTAAGAAAAATAATTTAAAAACTCAATTTTCTCACTTAATTTTCTTATTCAGTTAATAAATTAATTAATTTTTCCTAATTTATTATAATAATTATAATTGATTTTCTCAATTCTCATTGTAATAATATAATTTTTAATTATTTAATTTTCCTTTTTATTTATTAAAATTCTTTCTTTTGGAAAGAATTAAGGTTAATTAAGAACAAAAAAAAATATCATTCATCAATCATATTCGTGCACTTCGATTTGTATATTAATAATTCTTATTTTTCAATAAGAGAAAATTAATGGAAAAATATGTACATTAAAAAAAAAAAAAAAAAAAATGTGACAAATGTGTCACAATTTTTTAATACAGTAGATTTTCAAGTCAGAAACATGAAAAGAGGCTTAATTAGAGAATTATCTTCCATTAATAATAGAAATAACTATTTTTTATTGATTGATATTAATTTTTTTTTTTGGGAAATATTTTCAGTTTGTTCCTGATGATTTGAAGGATGACAAATATTGGGCGCGTCGTAGGAAGAATAATATGGCAGCAAAACGTTCAAGGGATGCGAGACGAATGAAGGAGAATCAAATAGCTCTTCGAGCAGGATTCCTCGAAAAAGAGGTAATTTTTCCTCATTTTTAATAAACTAATTGGAAAATTCATTTTTGTTCCTTTATTTATTTTTCATTTATTTAGAGAAATTTTAATTATCTAATTTTCATTTTTCTTTATTAAAAATTTTAATTTATATTATAATCAATTTTTAATTTTATTCAATTTTAAATTAAAATCAAAATTTTAAATTAATTTAATACAATTTTAAATAAAATTTTCATTAATTAAAAAATTAATTTAAAATTCATAAATTAATGTAATTTTTTTAAATATAATTTTGAGAAACTAAAATTTAGAAATTCAATTAAACTTGGAATTTATTAATGTGATAAAAAAAAATATAAAGAAATATTGAAAAAAAATTGTAATGTTCCTTATAGGCTTGAAATTATCAGACAACTTTAGTTTTTTTTACTTTTTTTTCTATATAATCTTACTGGAAGCATTTTTTTTAATATTCAAAAACTCTTTAACGAGATAAACTTGCGGTGGAAAAACGAAAAGAAAAAATATATGTCTAGTAAACGAGACAGAAACATGACTATTTGTAATTCTCTGATAACTTGGGTGTGGCAAGATTTCCCATTTTATTTTTCCTTTTCATCTCATATACTTGTCTTCCACTTTTAATTTTACAATCTCAACTCATAATTCTTTCAACATTGAAAATTACTTTCCGTTCGCAATTTCTCTCCTCAAAGAAAATTTATTTCAAACTAAAAACTGTAAATCGTTAATTTATCAGATAAATAATAATCGAAAAAAACTAATAATATAAAATTTTCTTTCCCAGAAAAAAGAAAAGGAAAATTTGTATTTTCATTTAAAAAAAATTTTTTTTCGTCTAAAATTACTAAAAATATTATATATTTTTAATACAAAAACGAAAAAAAAATTTGTCTTTATTTTATTAAATAAAAAAAAAATATATTGTTTTTTCATAACAGTATTTTTAAAAAAAAATCGATTTTATTGTTTTTCAATTAATGTTTCGATTTTCTTGCAGAACATGGGCCTACGACAGGAGTTGGACCGGATAAAGAACGAGAACATGTTACTTCGTGATAAGCTCAGTAAATACACGGACGTCTAACCGGGAGAGTATTTTTCTGCTCTTTGCTCTTCGTCGACTCTTTCTCGCCGCACTTGTAGTCATTTTACGAAAGTCATGACCGCGTCGTAGAAAAAAAAATTCAAACACACACACATACAAAAAAAATGAATTTTTTTTTCTTTTTTTTTTAATAAGAAAAGGAGAAAAATTATCAAAAAAAAAAAGAAGAATCGTTACCTATTCCACACACAAAACCAAAGGAAGCTTATTTTGAAAATAAAAAAAAAAGCAACACAGAATTTTCGACAAAAAAAAAAAAAAAGAAAATTTTTCACAAAGATGAAAAAAAGAAGAAAAAGTTTCGAATGAATCAAGGTGCAGAATTGGAATTAGAGAAAAAGAGGCGGACGACGAGGAAGATTTGGAAGATAATGAAAGGAGAGAAAGGGAAAAAGAAAAAAAAGCAGTGCCCTCAATTTTTACTTCCTTTTTTTTTTTTGGCAATATCTTTATCTCTGTCGTCTTCCTCTTTCCCAAATCCTTTTCTCCTCTCCCGTTCCCTAAATTTTTTTTTCCCTGACACAAAACATTATTTTGTCCCTCCTTTCATCACTTGTACATAGTTATATGTATAGTTAGATTATATATAAATATAAATAATATCGATATATCCTTACAGTATGAACAATACTAGACAGAGAAAAAGATATATTGTTTTAATTGTAAAATTTGCGCGCCTACGAGAGACAATTTCATTGCGCGTATTTACAGAGACATAGAATCCTATTAATAGGTATATTATATATATATACACATAAACAAAAAAATCAACAACTCAAGAGCAAAAAGACCCGCGTGTATAACAATCTCGCATATAAACATCTCTATTTACAAATTTAAAAAACTCAAATTTTTTTAATTAGCCCCCCAATAGGCTCGAAGCGATAAAAAGAATCAAATTAAGAAAAAATTAAAAAAAAAAAATTAAAAGAAAATTTAAATTAACTGTATCTAATTTCAAAATTTGCTATTAAAAATTTAATTAAAATTTTATTGAAATGTTTATAATTTTAATTATAAAAAAAAAATTTAATAAGTTATTAACAATTCAAAATTCAAATTTTGACAATACTTTGAATTAAAAGTAAATAATTTGAATTAAAATTTGACAAGTAATTTAAATTCAAATTTGACAAAATATTTAATTTAAATTATAGGCAAATTTTAATTTAAATTATAGGCAAACTTTAATTTAAATTATTGTCAAATTTTAATTTAAATTAAAGTTTTAACAAAAAAAAAAAGTTTAATATATTAAAATATTAAAAATTTTATTAAATGTTTAACATAATTAAAATTAAAAAATTAAATATTTATAATCAAAATTGGAAAAAATATGTGTCATTAAAACTTATTTCTTTTTTAATCAATAAATTTACACACGTACTTTTCACGGTGCTAAGAAATAATAAATTACAACGAGAAATTAAACATTATTTTTTAATTTTGTATAACAAGTTGAAAATTTTCCTACTTTAATTAAAATTAATAAATAGAATTGAAAATTAAACAAAATAGATTTTAAAAAAAGAATTCCTTTAACAACTTAATTTTGTCGAGCCTTTGAAAAACACAATTTGAGATGTTGAAATTTTTTTTTTGTGAAAAAAATGTGATTAATCGCGTTTGAATTGGTGACTACTAATTGCCTATATATTTATAGGCGATAATAATTAAGAATTTGTCAAAGTTTGTTATCCGCATACGAATATTATCTCTCTCTTTCTTACTTTCGTTTCGTTTCGTTTTTTTTTTTTTAATTATTTATTTATTTTCTTTGTCTCTCAATTTAATTGTTATCGGTAAAAAAAAATCGCATGGCTTTTTTTTATTTATAATCACAATGCACTGCCAAATTTAAAAGAAAAAAAAGCCAATAAAAAGTGTACTACACTTTTTCAAAAAAAAAAAAAAATGAGATAGTTTTAGAGATTTAATTTATTCAAGTGCAATTTAGTTTCTTCGCTATTTTATGCAAAAAGAATGTGCAATTTTTTTTTTATGAGAAATTTTAAGGAAAAAAAAATTTATAAACTTTTGTTTGAGAAATTCTATTTAAAAAATATTGATTAGTGGAAAAAATTTTATTTTCTAAAAATATTTTTTAATTTTTATAATAGAAATTTGTAACAGAAATTTTAGAAGAATTTTGTTGAGTTTGTTTTAGAATTTTTCGAAAAGATTACTTTCTTTTTTTTGAAAATTTTAATGACTAGGATCAAAGTGAATTTAAATTAAGAAATTTAATTTACAATTGTTTAAAAATTAATATAAATTTTTATTTAAATATATTTAAATTTTTTTAAAATAGTTTTTCTTTTAAAGAAAAACTGCCAAAAAATTCGTACTTGAATTTTAGTATTTACGATACGATATTGTTAAAAACTTGTCTTTTAGAATACGCGACCATATTTACATTCATTATATTATATTTATTGCATGTGGCACAATTTTAAAAGTAAGTTTTTTTTTAATTTTAGCATTTTTTTTTTTTTTGTAAACTCATCGCTTTATTTAGTATTTACTCAATAACAATAATTTTTAAAAAATGTAAAAAAATGTTGTTATTTTAACTAATCATTTGTATAAGTTGAAAACGAAAGTACAAGAGAGAGATAGAAAGAGAGAGAGAGAGAAAAGCACAATGTGTAGTTTGAGAGAGAGCCTGTTTTCTGATTGTTAAAACTAAACTAAAACGAAAAAAAATAAAAGACGAGAAATAAAGTGCAAAATTCCTGAGAAAGAAACGATGTGTTTTCTGTCGTGAAAAAAAAATTATTTCCTTATACGTCTTTTGAGAATTGTTACATATGATTAAATAAAATTTATCCCACGTGGTGATGGTAACATAATAACGATTCTCATTATTTTAATTCAATAATAAAAGAATTCAAGTACTTCTTAGTCTTTAGTGAAGAATACGTGAGATATATTTTTTTTTTCGACAGAAAACCTTATCTCAATAGGACAAGAAAATGGAAAATTATTTTCAAAAAATAGAAGAAGAATGCGTTTAACCATCTCTATATAATATTAATAAAAATCAATTCTCAAGACTCATTGAAAAAAAAAAAAAAACTGTCTAAAGATATTAATGGCTGCGAATCAAGAATAAAATTAAATTATAAACATCGTTTTTTCAACGCAAGACCACACACACAAAGGGTCTTTCTCATTCTTTAAGTTTTTAGATGTTTATTTTGTTCTATAGATGAGTAAAAAGAAAACCTGAAGTCGAAATGAAACAAAAAATCATGTAGTGTGTTGATCAAGTTGTCATGTTTTTTTTTATGATTATTTTTTTTTTTAATCGTTAGCTGTAGTAGAGAAATGGTTCAAAATATTTTTTTCTCTTTTTTTTCTGTAGAGAATTATAATCTTTTTAATCCCACATTGGAGAAAAATAAAAAAAAAATTCATTTTTTCTAAATGAAAATTTTTCTAAATAATGAAAAATTTTTCAATTAAAAAAAAACGAATATAATTTAAAAACAAATGTTTAGTAAAAAGAAAATATTGTAATGAATTTTTGAACTATCGTAAAAATGTCGTAGCGCCTGAGATTCGGCAAAAAAAAAAAAAAAACAAAAAAAAACATCGTTTTTGTTGAAAAAAAATCTTGTATTTTCTAAATGATCCTATTTTTCCACCAAAGAGCAAAATCAAATTTTATAAATCTTTGATGGATCAAACTTTTTGAACTTGAAGTTCACAAAAAAGGGGATTAAATATATCTATTGCGCCTTTGCTCATTTAATCGCGTTTTTTTTTTTTTTTTTTTGTTTTTTTTATATATATATATATATTTTCATCGTTACCATTTTTAGCTTTCGATGCGCCCACATTTGTATACGTTTTTTGATCTTCGCTTATAGAAATTAGTAAAATTTTTATTATTTCTTTTTTTTAATTAATCCGCTGTATGTTCGCGCGTCAAATAATTAGGTGGTCCAGCAAGAATAAAATTTTCGAAATATTTTGTAATATATAATTCAAAAATTCGAAAATGCGCCACTAAAATGCGAAATCCGTGCAAATTTTTAGTTGCTGAATCTCTTTAGATTTAAATTATTTACGTCGTCAAGTAAAATTTGTATATTTAATATTTGAAAAGAAAAAAAAATTATTCATCGTTATAAATTTTCCAAGGAAAAAAAAAGCGACAAATACATCGAAATTCGTATTTTTCATTTACAATTTTTCAGAATAATACATTCATGATGATAAATAAAGTGAATAATCATGAGTGCGCCGATTTTCATTAATAAGTAAAACGTTAAATCGAATTTTCAAAAAAGATGTAAATATAGTCAATGCTTATTTCTGTTTTGAGATATTAAAAAAAAAAACAAAAAAAAACAAAAAAAAAAATTAAAAAAAAGATGCGCGGTTAATTATTTTAGCACGATTGGACAATAGCGAGTAAATGGAGAGAAAAAAAATGTATTAGAAAATTTATAGAAGTAGCGGAAATTAATAGCCGCTCACAGGATTTAATTGACAAAAAAAAAAATGAAAATATCTTTGTAAATTAACGCATTGAGCCATAGATTGTATGAAACTAAAAAAAAAATAATGGAAGCTTCAGACGATGCCGTCACTGACGTATGTCATCCGATCCACACACAAAAAAAAAGATAATGAAAACACAATTAAAAAAAAAAAAAAAAAAAAAAAAAACGATGTGAAAATGACCATCATCAGCATGAAAAATCTAGTGTAACACATTTCGAGAAATATATGTATTTGTTATTGTTTTAATTGAATACTTTGATTTTTTTCATTTCCCCACACTTTTCTTTTTTTTTATCCATTAAATTTCAAAACAAAAAAGAAAAACGTTTTAAAATATTAAATATTTATAAACTAATTCTTATAGTGGAGAATTTAAATTATAAATTTCAATATTTCTGAAAACAATAGTATAAAGTATAAATTAATTATGAATAAAATATAATTTGAATACACAATAAACTTAAAATTAATCTACATACCATTGTATTTTTCAGAAATATTAAAAATCTAATTTTAAATTCTCTGTCAAAATATCTCAGAATATGGAAATAAATTAAATAACCCGAAAATTGTACTTATTCGAAAAGTTCAGAGTAAAAAAAAAAAATAAAACAGCTGCGATTTAAACGATCGCAATGCTGAATAATAAAATTTACAAAAAAAAATAACCGAAAAATTTGCTATAACAGATAAAATAATAAAAAAAAATTTGTAATTTAAATTCAATTTGAAATTCTAAATATTCTCTTCTCAAATAGTTAACATTTTGTGTAATTTAAATATCAATTTACTCTAAAAATATCAATAACAAAAAATAAATATAAAATTAATTAAAATATTAACTAATTTGAATAGAGATAATAGAATTGAAACATTAATAAAATTTTAATATGATAAATTACACATTCCTGAAAAAATAAATTATTAACTTCAATTAAAAAGAAATATTATTGCTCACCACGTTGATTCATCTGAAAATAATTATCGATTGAACAAAACATTCACAAAACACTTAGATATAACATACACAAAACATTTACAAAACATACACAAAACATTAAAATAGTGACAACATAGTGACAAAAGAAATAAAATAGTAAAATAAAGTAAATTTTCACTGGTACTCCAGTTACTTACATTTTTTTTACCCGATTTCCCTACCTATTGCTATATTTAAAACGAACATAAATGCCTATTTTTTCCGAATTTCCTACCTATATTTTTTATATTCTAAACGAAACTAATACCGCCCAGGTGCAAATTACCTACACTAGGGTTAACGTCCCGGGACGTTACCGTCACCTGAGCGATCTTCTCTGAAAAGAAAAAATTTAATTAGTCCATTATTAAAAAATTATCAAAAACTTGTAATTCTTAATTCCACATGCATTAACTTTTAATTTTTGAAAATTAAATATAAAATTTACTAAATTGAAAAATTGCTAACGAGATTAATTAATTAAATTATTTAAAGTTAATAAAATTTTATATATTTTAAAATTACTTTTTTTATAGAAAGAACATTATTTTGATTCAATAAGAAAAAATACAAAATATTACAAATATTAAACATACAATAAATAAATAACATACATATAAACAATGAAAATAAACATTGACAATAATATTACTTTTCGTAGTATTAAGGTAGTAATTCACAAAACATGTAATACTTTAGGATGTGGGGAGTGTTAAAAAATTTTCAGGGGTTAAATTTCCGAAAATATCATACGTTTTTTTTTTAAATTACTCCTAAAAATACCAGAAAATAATACATTTTGTCAATGGTGTCACTATGTTGTCATTATTCCTTCCCTGTTTTTTTTTTTTTTTTCAATTTAATATTTTATTTGAATTCATTTAATAAATCTACTTTTTTTAGAGTCAAGAAAATTTAAAAACTGCGAAATTAAGAATATCTTATAAAAAGAATTTTCAATTTATGAATCTACTTTTTTAATTTAAAAAAAATAACTGTTTTAAACAGGGAAGGGGTTAAATAAAAAACCACTCATCAACCGGCGAATCCCACGTTGGAGCAATAACATCATTGCCACTTCTCGAGCGCTTCTGGGCCAGCTCCCGAGGATCCCTCTTTCTTGCTCGCACTTCTGCGTGAGGCCGGGAGCTCAAAAAAAAATATTATAAAAAAATAAGAAAAAATGAAAAAAAAATTTCATAAAAAAAAATATATGCAGGGGCCACTTTTCTTCTTCCACATCCTTCCTTCCTTGTCTTTTCGGATAGTTGGAAAATTGGAATGGACCTGAAAAAATAAAATTTATTTAATTAAATTATATAATTATTTTCTAAAAATACTATTAAATACTGAGTTGAACAAGATGAATGTTGATTGATAAAAATGTATTATGTATACATTAACAAAATCATTGAAGAGAAATTTTTAATTCAAAAATGTTACACAAAAAATTTTTTACGTAAAAAATTTTTTAAAACAAAATTAATTTAAAATTTATTGAAAAAAAGACTCACCTGTATCGGGGGATTTCTGCGTAGTGTAAGAGAAACGATGACAGCAAAACCTCTTTTTACAAGGACAAATCTTCCTTGTCCTTGATTAACTACCTGAAAAAAAATAATGATGTTATATGTGTAACATAAAGTATTAAAAAACTTTAATATTATCAATTATTTTTAAATATATTATTTATAAATATTAACATTTGATTTTCTATCATCAATTATAAATATTACAATAAATTTTCAATTAATTTTCTTATTGTATTTATTGATATTTTTGAAAACTATTGGGAAAAAAATTCTCACCTATAAGGGAAAATTTCTTCGTTGTGTAAAAATTACGATGACAGCATATCTTCTCTTTAATTAAACAAATCCTTCCTCTGCTGGACCAACTGCCTGGAAACAAATTAATATTTACAAATTTGAACATTTTTTACATTGCATCACCAATTATAAATATTAGAATAAATTTTAACTACCTTTTTATTACAACTATTAATATTTTTTAATGATACTAGAACTTGTTCATAATTTTCAAATTTTTGTTCAACAGTAGTTATTGTTATTTCTAAATATTTAATTAAATTAATTTTGTTAATAATATTAATCAATTTTTTTAAAATAAAAAAATTAAGAGCAAAAATTTATAATCAACTTACATTGAACTGCGACTCAGCTATGCAAGATCTCCTCCAGGAGCAGCTCCGCAACAAACACCCATCCTTCATGATTGGACACCTATAAATTTATAAAAACAAATAATTAAACCTTTTTTTTATTTTCAGTTTTTATGCAAATTTTAATTAATTAACAATATTTGTGTTATTAATTAAAGTAAAATATAAAATCGATAAGAATGTTAAAAAAATTGCTATTAAAATACAAAACAGAATTTTTAGAGAATAAAAAATGTTTAATATTTAAAAATTTTATAAAATCTGTTTTAATAAACAATTATTTACCTCAGTTGAGAAGAATTGACACCGAAAGATTTAGCATTTTTGGCCTTTTTTCTAAGATGACTACTTTGACCCTGTAAATAAATAAAAAAAAAAGTTAAATAAATTTACGATAGGAATTTTAATATTTTTGAAATTTTGCTTTTAAATTTTATCTCTAAAATACGGCGGACAAGTACCCAAACAGATGGAGAATTGAAATATGAAATTGGGTATGTGGTAATTTTTAGGTTAAATTCTAAAGCGTCGTCAATATTGACTAAATATTGAAAATTCTGATATTTACCAACAAAAATTAGTTGAAATCTTGAAAATTTAGAACAAACTGAACTTAAGTTATTGAAAAAAACTTTTAATTTCATTAAGATTATAAGATACTTTTTACTATTCACAAAATATTCTGTCACTTTCAACCGCGCTTTCAACAATGTCCACTATAGTGAGCAATGATACCAACTTGAACTTAAAAAATTACCAACCAATCAAACTCTTACCAACATAATTACAAATTTTTTTAACTACTTGTTTTTAATTGCTGTAACCTTCTTTTTTATTATTTTCAATTTTTTTAAACAATTATTCAAATATCTAATAATTATTATTAATAAATTTATTCTTTAATACATTTTTTTATAATGCCAAATTTTTGAGGTTAGATTTTTTGTCGAAAATATTTTACCTGAATTTATTATTTTTCTTTATAGCTGCCACAAAACTTTCATAAATTTTCTATTATTCATATAAAACTGGACTAAAGTATCATAAAATATATATAATTAACGTTATGATGATAATAATAGCACAAGATTAAATTTCCTCGAACGAAAAACGTTTCTTCTACTTTCTGCTGGCGACGCCATTTGCAATCAACAGTAAAGCCAACCCAAGATAACAAAAAACTAAACTTTTCATTTCTACCAATATATATAAAAAAAAAATTTTATTAAATTTTTTTTTTTCTTTATTGTTTAGTTTTTTGCAATTTATATATTAATTATTGATAGAATAAAATAATTATATTATTACAATTTAGATTATACATTTACCTGTATTTTTTTGTTTAACATTACGATGCTAAACTTTTTAGGTTAGATTTTCGTGTCAGAAAAATTTTATCGAAATATGCTAATTTTCTTTTTTCCTGCCATGAAACTTTTATAAATTTTGGATAATTTAAACAAATTTGAACTTAATTGCAATGAAATATGTATAATTAGCGCTTTGATTAAAAAAATACAATAAGATTAGGAAGAGCTGCACGAAATATGGGTCTTCTACTCTCTGACGACGCCATTTGCAATGAAGTGCAATGAAGCGTAATGCCAACCCAAGATAACAAAAAACTAAAATTTTCACTTCTACCAAATATAACAAAACTTCTTTCTTAATTATATTTTTTTTATATCAATTCATTGTTTTTGCAATTATTATATATTAATTATTAATAAAATAAAAATTTTATATTATTTACGAAACTTACACAAATTTCGCGCGAATTTTGAAAATTGTTGTCGTTTAAACCAAACATTTATAAGAATGACTTTGCTATAACTGCGCGTGACGCAACCTTGTTTTTGTTGAATCATGGTCAATTCCGTAAGTTTAAAGGTTATGTTCACCACAAGTAAATAATGCAGCATGATAAGAATTTAATATTTCTCTAATTATATATAATTAAAAAAAAAAAAAAGTGAAATAGTTTTTCGTACCGTAAATTATACATAATAAAAAAAAACAAAATGGTGCAAGTGGGAGATTTTGAGGCAGTTGTACTAGCCGCTGGAAAAGGTTCGCGTATGATGGAATTGACAGCTGGAAAACCAAAATGTTTACTTCCAATTGGTAATTATCCAATGATTTGGTATCCACTGCGTCTTTTAGAAAAAACTGGATTTAATGCGGCTTTTGTCATTGTCGCTGAATCGTCAAAAAATGAAATTATCTCAACTCTAGATAAATTAAATCTTAAAATAAAACTCGATTTAATTGGTGTCTCCGAGGATGATTTAGGAACAGCTGATTCAATGAGATTAATTTATGAGAAAGTGAAAAAAGATTGTCTAGTTGTTTCTTGTGATTTAATTGCCAATGTTGATATAATACCAGTTTTAAATTTATATCGAAAAAATAATGCAAGTATCACGGCATTAATGTTGCCAGTGCCGAAAATTTCCGACGATTGCATAATAGCTGGACCGAAAAATAAACAAAAGCCAGAAACCGATTTAATTGGCATTGAAGAGAAAACAAATCGATTAGTATTTTTTGCCTCAGCTTCTGATTTTGAGGAGAATGTTTTTTTACCAGCACGATTGTCACAAAAACATACGGATTTTAATATTCATTCGAAATTATTGGATGCACATCTTTATGTTATGAATAAATGGGTTTTAAAATATTTGTCTTTTAATAAGTAAGTATTCTTTAATTTCTAAAATGAGTGTTTATATAATTAATGTAAATTTTTCTTTTACAGGAGTTTTATTTCGATAAAGGGCGATTTTTTGCCGTATATAATTTCAAAACAATTGGCAAAACCACCAAAATGCTTTGTGGATGATAAAAATACTTCTATTGTAAAATTAAACATTAAAGAAGATATTCAACGTTTTTGTAGTGAAAGTTATCTCGATGGACTTATTAGAGAGATGTCATCTTTTAATGATTGTCAGACGAATTTAGATAATTCTTATCACGATGATATTATTAGATGTTACGCTTATAAAGTAACTGAACAATGTGGTTTGAGGGCGAATACAATTCAAATGTACAGTTTAGCAAACGCTACAGTAAGTTTTTTTTAAATTTTGTTTTTATCAAAAAAATTTATTTTAATTAAAATTTTAAAAAAAAAATTGATGATAAAATTTGATTTTTACATGAGCCAAAAGTTTTGAATGTTCAAATGAAAAAAATATTTTTTTCAATCTATAAATTATTACAAATGTAAAATAAAACAGTAAATTAAACTAATATTAAATTAATAACTTCATTTTAAATATTTAAAATAATATTTTGTAATAAAATTCGTATTTAAAGAAGTTATAAAAAAATGTTGTTCATTTTGAACGTTCAAAATTTTTGGCTCATATTTTTACTATACTTTTCTATATTTGTGTTTTGATTATTCTTTTTGTATTCATATTTAATTACCTATAATTAAATTCTAGATCGATAAATGGTGGGAATTTGTAAACAAAGATTCGAAAATATCTCCAAATGCTACTGTAAAAAGTACACAAGTTCAAGAATGTCGAATTGACAATAATGCATTAATTGATGAGAAAACATCATTGAAACAAAGTAATATTGGTGCAAAGTCTACAATCGAAACAAAGACGAGAATTTCTAATTCTATAATTATGGATAATGTAACGATTAAACAAAAGTGAGAAATTTTATTTAATTTATTAAAACCTATTTCTTCTATTATTATAATTTAATATTATTATTATTTATTTTTTTAGTTATTTAATTTTTTGTTAATTTCTTAATTTCAATTTTCTTTTTAAATTATCTAAATATTAATTTTTCCTTTTACAGGTGTGCGATTATTAATAGCATTCTATGTAACGGATGTGTAATTGAGGACGAAACAACGATAAAAAATTGTTTAGTGGGTGCAAAATTTACCATTTCAAGTGGTCAAGAACATTCTCATGAAATGTTAACGGACGCCGATGAATTAATGGAAATTTAAATTTCAAATTTAAATTTAATTTTTTAATTCTGTAAATAAGATTTCTTTGAAATATAAAACAAAATTTTTCAATTTATAGGTATAGTATCTAAATAATAAATTTTTCAACGTACACCTCAATTACTAGGATAACGTAGCGTGTCCCAATAATTAAGGTGTGTGTGTCATTTTTCTTTTTTGGGAAAAATAAATAATTCTCGAATAAAGCTCACAGTCTAGACGGTTTAGTTCGAAAAAAAGAGCCAAAGCTGAAGCGCGCCGGCGTACGTTACTTTTCTGACGTAACTTATTACGTCTACTCTCGATGATACGCTACACGCAAGAGAGGGGGAGACATTTCACGCGTGGGTGTATATTGAAAATAAGAAGGGGTGCACTGAAGCTTGCACGTCAATAGGAGAGTCCTTTTGGCAGACGGTGGGGGTTGAAATCCATTGAAGGGGATGACTGCAAGTGTGGAAAATAATATAGGGGGAGAATGGAAAAGGGGGGAAAGTTGGTTTCTGTGAATACTACATGGATGTTTAGGGGGTTGAATTTTCTCCCTGAAACCCAAGCTCATTTCAATGTGGTGGGGTAAATTCCCCTCTCCTTATGCAATATATGTTTACAAGAGAGAAATCATTTCAGGGCTGTATATATAATTTCCCAAAAAAAATTTTATCAAAAATTTCTCTAAAAAAACTAATTTTTTAAAAAAGCAACTTTTGTATTTTTATATTTTCAAATTTAGTTAATTAATTTTTTTTCAAATTAAATTACAATTTTTAAAAATAAAATTTGAAGAAAAAATTTATTTTTAAATTGTAATTTTTTTTTCTCAAATAGCTTCATGAATCAATTATCAAAATGTGAGAAGGTTTATTAACCGAGAAGACCCTGACTTAATAAGATTGGAATTTTTTTTTTTTGAAATGAAAAGTTGCGGTGAAAAATTATTCAACAAGTAGATATTAAATTTCTTGACAAGGATATAATAGTTTGTGCCGTGAAGAAAATTCGATTTATACTCTTAGTACGATGAAGAAATTCATCCAAGTAGAAAACACTCCTGTCTGATGGTTTTCATAAGATTAAAAAAAAAATTTAATATGCTTTTTTTAAAAAAATGTCAACTACATGAGATTTACTCGAAATAAATATTGTGAAATTTTTAGATTTATAATTTTATATATTCTTTTTCAAAAAAAAAAAAAAAAATTTTTTTATAGACTTCAATTTTTGCCAGTTATCCATATTATAAGCACGTGTCGCATAACTCATAACTTTAAATTTATTCATAGGAAATCTTAGTTTCAACCCCTCGGCTTTACCATATAATCATTCTAAATAAAAGATCAGTTTTTTTATTTCCCTTTAAGTTTTCAAGAGAGTGAAAAAATCATTTCTTGCATGTAAAACATGTATTATATTATTAGAACTTTTTGGGAAAGAACTTTTTTCACCTTCACAAAAATGTATACACTAAATTATATTATAAGGGGGAAAAAGTTTTATACAAAATTAGGTAATAACAACCCCAAAAAGTTAGGTGTTTCCGACTCACTTCCTACGTCACGCCTGTCACATTGATCGTATAACGATACAATATACACACACGAATCCCCTTAATTAAAATTAACGCTCGATTAAAAGCAATCTTTTTGATAAATATCAAAAATAAAATTTTCTCGAAAAAAAAAAATTCTTTACTAAATTTTGAAAAATGACTAAAAATAATTAGTGCAAATTTTTAATAATTTCAATTATCACTAATTCAAATTTAAAGAAAGTTAAAAATTTTCCAAGTTATTAATAATAAAATCCTTGAGATGAAAATTAATGTGTCACCTTCGGTATTCAAATTATATATGTATACGCGACATTCATTTGCATTCTACGACCCTGATAGATGCGTATAAATGTCATTACACGCAACCATTACATTTTCCGGTGATTATAACTTTAGCTATTTGACACGGAATCTGAAGAAGCTTTCCAAGGAGCACAGATTTATCTTAATATATAATTTATATTATATTTTCAAAATTTTTAATAATTTTTATTTTAAAATATATTCTTCTATTTTAGATTAAATAAATTAATAATTCGGAAAACTTTTGTTTCTCCAAATTTGAATTAGTTCACTAATATTATTTTTTTTCGTTCAGTGACTAAATTTTTTTAGTCATTTTTTCTACTAAAATTTTAGTAAAAAAATATATTACTAAATCAAATAGTAATATTTTACTAAGGATTATAGTGAAAATACTAATTTTTAGATATTTTTCACTAAAACTTTATTTAAAAAAAAATTACTAAATCAAATAGTAATTTTTTGGGGCGCATTAGTTTTCTATAAAAATAATTAATTCGAATTTTTAATTAATAGAATTTTTAGGAAGCTGAATTTTCAATTGTCCAAAATTACAATAATGGCCGAATAAACAATCAACAGAATAATTTCGGTGCAATTTTCAAAAATTGACCAATTAGAAATTATCAACAAAAATTTTGATTGGTCAATTTTTGAAAATTGCTCCAAAATCTTTTAGTCGATTATTTGTTCGTCCATTTAGTAATTTGGATAAATGAAAATTCGACGTCTTAAAAAATTCCTACAAATAAAATTCGTACAAATAAAAATTCGGACAAATAAAAATTCGGACAAATAAAAATTTGGACACATTAAAATTCGGACAAATTAAAATTCGGACAAATAAAAATTTGGACACATTAAAATTCGGACAAATTAAAATTCGGACAAATAAAAATTTGGACACATTAAAATTCGGACAAATTAAAATTCGGACAAATAAAAATTTGGACAAATTAAAATTCGGCGAATTAGAATTTCTGTTAAATAAAAATTGAATTAAATTAAAAGTTTTTTAAATAATAAAAGTAATGTAAATTAAATGAATATAAAATAAAAAAATTTTGCCAAACGAAAATTCACTAGCCAAAAATTTTGTTAAGTAAAAAATTGTATAAAAAGAAATTCTTTGAAATGCTAATTCGAAAAATTGAAAATTCGTCTAAAAAATAATTATTACTAAATGAAAATACTAATTTTAATGATTTTTATAGGATAATCGTCCCAATTTTTTTTTTTTTTTACTAAAGATTAGTGAAAATTTCTATACTAATTTTTAGGTATTTTTCATTAAAACTTTAGTAAAAAATAATATTACTAAATCAAATAGTAATTTTTTTTTACTAAATATTAGTGAAAAATTTCTATGTACTAATTTTTGGGTATTTATCACTAAAACTTTATTTTAAAAAATTACATGAAACAAATAGTAATTTATCTCTAAAATTTCGGTAAAAAAAAATTACTAAATAAAATAGTAATTTTCTACTAAAACTTAAGTAAAAAAGAAAAAAAAATATTACTAAATAAAATAGTAATTTTCTACTAAAACTTAAGCAAAAAAGAAAAAAAAATATTACTAAATCAAATAGTAATTATTATTATACTAAAACTTCGGTAAAAAAAATATTACTAAATAAAATAGTAATTTTCTACTAAAACTTAAGCAAAAAAGAAAAAAAAATATTACTAAATCAAATAGTAATTATTATTATACTAAAACTTCGGTAAAAAAATATTACTAAATAAAATAGTAATTTTCTACTAAAACTTTAGTAAAAAAAATTATATATTACTAAATCAAATAGTAATTATTACTATACTAAAACTTCGGTAAAAAAAATATTACTAAATAAAATAGTAATTTTCTACTAAAACTTTAGTAAAAAAAATATATATTACTAAATTAAATAGTAATTTATCACTAAACCTTCGGTAAAAAAAAATTACTAAATAAAATAGTAATTTTCTACTAAAACTTTATTAAAAAAAAAATATATTACTAAATCAAATAGTAATTATTACTATACTAAAACTTTGGTAAAAAAAATATTACTAAATAAAATAGTAATTTTTTCTACTAAACCTTTAGTAAAAAAAAAAAATATGACTAAATCACATAGTAATTTTTCACTAAAAATTTAGTAAAAATTCCAATTAGGAGAAATTTGAAAAATTTTTGAATTTATTTTGTCTTTTGCGTAGGTGGAAAATAATAAATTTGACGGCCCTGAAAACATTGTTAAAATTAAATTTCTACGCAAGTAGGGGAGGATTGTTCTAGAGATATGAAACTTGTGAAATGGAAGGGGGATGTTAATAGAAGAAGGGATGCTGGGGAAGAGAGAGAGAGGGGGGGTGACAACCCCTAGTTCACACGATAGGGGTGGTAAGCGCGGATAAGAAAGAACGACTCAGCCCTAAAGCGCACTGGACACCCGTGTCGCACTAAAATGTGACTCGAGGTAGAACGGGGAACGTGTACCGTGCCGAAATTTTCATTAGTTTAGTATATATATATATAACAATATTTATGATGCGTACACATATATTAAAAATCAGGCCAATAAACAAATTTTAATTATAGAAAATAAAAATAATAATAATAAAATATACAAAAATTCGTGCGGTGGAGAAAAGAAAATAAATTTTTGACAAAAAAAAAGTCGCGCGAGAAAATTATTTACTAATTCTGTACTGCGAAAAATATATACATATCATTTTATTGTAGACGAGAGAATATAAAAAAAAAAAATTTCATTTATTTTTTTTTTTCTGTATGTCGCGTGCACAGTTGTTTGTTCTATAAGTGTTGTGGATTAAATGAAAATCTAGTTTAATTTTAGAAAAAAAAGAATGCAAACACCAATTATTAAATTTGAAAAAAAAAAATAAATTAATCGATTTTAGTTTTTTTTTTTTTGGCTAGAGTGCCAATAATTTATTGTGAGCTGTGATTTTTTTTTCTGTGTCTCTTTTTTGAAAGCAAAAAAAAAAGAAAAGAAAAAAAAAGGGAAGAAGAAAAAAGGGAAACAGTGCAAGAGGCAAAAACGAAATTAAGGTAAGTTCAGCCAGAGACGCAATTATTCTAAAGTGTATACGAGTGTATAATGAAGTAGTTTATGACGTTTTTTATACTTGCTTTCTTAGAAGAAAATTACATGCTTTCACCGAAGTAGAAAGTACATTTATTAGCTTTTTCAAAATACTTTTAAACCAAGATAATTATTCTACTGTATTCCAAAAAAATAGTTATTATGTAAATTAATAAAAAAAAAAAAAATTACCACCTACCAAAAAAATATTTTGAAAATGGAATTTGATTTTAAAAAAATTATTCCAAAATTGAGAGTACAACTTTAGTAATAATTTTAGAATAAATTAATAGATAAATAAAGTAATAAATTATTTAATAAATAAATTAAAAAATTAATTGATTTATTTAATAAATTTATTAATGCAAAAATTAATAAATAAATTAATAATGTAATAAATTATTTAATAAAAAAATCAATAAATAAATTAATAATGTAATAAATTATTTAATAAAAAAATTAAAAAGTTAATTAATTAAATATAATAATAAATTAACTAATAAGTAAATTCATAAAATAAGTAAATAAAAAAAAATACCATTTTTTAAAAAAGGTACAATTTATTCTCCATTTTTAGAATATTTTCTTTATCAATAAAAAAAAAATTTATTTGATTTTTAAAAAAAAAACTTTTCTTTGATTTAAAAAAAATTCTTTTTTATATCCAGATATATATGAAAAATGACAATTTCCCTTTAACTTTTCATCGTAAACTAACACTTTGCTTTCATCGCCCTTGTATACACACGCGTAGCCATATAGGTATATCGAACAATGAACCGTCTTTTGATAAAAAGGAACAACGCTTTATTCGCATTCTGAGGGCGTCAAAAAATGTGAAATTCATCTCTGTCACTATTTCCGCTCCATTCACAGTCCATCATGCTCTCTAAGCTTCGAATACTTTTTTTTCACAACCTTTGGTAAATATTTTATTCTTTTCTTTTTTATTTGACGATTTAAGATGTGGTTTTTCTCGAAAAAAAAAAATTATTTAATTCAAGTTTACTTCACTGATCATCAAATAAATATTTAGTTGAGTCAAATAAATATTTTGTTAAACCAAAAAAATATATAGTTGAACTAAATATATACATTTAGTCAAACCAAAAAAAAAAATTTTGTTAAATCAAAAAAATATTTAGTTGAACTAAATAGATATTTAGTCAAACCAAAAAAAAAAATATTTAGTTAAGCCAAATAAATATTTTGTTAAAACAAAAAAAAATTTAGTTGAGCCAAATAAATATTTTGTTAAACAAAAAAAATATTTAGTTGAACTAAATAGATATTTAGTCAAACCAAAAAAAAAAATATTTAGTTAAGCCAAATAAATATTTTGTTAAACCAAAAAAAAAATTTAGTTGAACCAAATAAATATTTTGTTAAACTAAAAAAATATTTAGTTGAACTAAATAGATATTTAGTCAAACCAAAAAAAATATTTAATTAAGCCAAATAAATATTTTGTTAAACCAAAAAAAAAATTTAGTTGAGCCAAATAAATATTTTGTTAAACCAAAAAAATATTTAGTTGAACTAAATAAATATTTCATTTAATAATTTTTATTTGAATTAAATAAATAAATAATAAATAAATTAATTAATAAATAAATAAATAAATAATAATAAATAATAATAAATAATAATAATAATAATAATAATAATAATAATAATAATAATAAATTAATAAATTTTATTTGAACCAATAATTTTTCTATTTGAAACAAATATTATTTAATTAAAATAATAATTATTTAATAGAAATAAATATTTATTTGATATAATACAGTCAAATAACCGATTATTTAAATCAAATAAATTTTTCGTCTAAAATTTCAAGTAAAAAATGTGAAAAAAGACAGAAAATTTAGCGCTTATTATTACAAGAGTTGACTCCAGAAAAGAACGTTTTTTCTTTATTTTAGAGAAAGTGAAGAATTTGAGTATTCTCTTTGTTCCAAAATGAACATTTTTATATAGAAGTCACTGCCCCAGGGGGGGGGTCACTAAATTTACAAAAAGTCACCGCGAATTTATTTTTAAATTTATTTATTTATTTTTTTTTTATTAAATAAAAATGTTTTAATCTGAAAAAATAATTTTTCAATTTTAAAAACAATTTTTTCAATAGCATCAATTTAGCTCAACAAAATAATGCAATTTTAATTTGTGCGAGAAATTTTAGAATTAAATTATTTTTTTTGTAAATTGGAATTATATATTCCAAAAATAGATAAAAAATTATTTTTTATATTAAACAAAAGTAAATTTTTTTTTAAATTTACTAAGAAAAAAATTGTCAAAATAATTTTGCATTATAAATATATAAATCAAATTAAAAACATCAAACTTGAGATGTTTAAAAAGGTCAGAGAGTTAAGTGGATAACGTCAATTAGAAAACCCAGAAGACCTGTCTGACTAAATACTGTCTAATCTACTTCAAGTGAAGTATACAGAGCCGTAGAAAGTTCACTAGATAATGGCAGAGTAAATGACTTAAAAATTCTTTTTGTTAGCCTTCAAAAAAAAAAAATAAAAATTTTTTTAAAAAATTATTTTTTGTTTCAAAATAACAAATAAAAAAAATAAATATATATTTAATTATTTATAATTATATTCTGTTAATAAAATAATAATAATTCCACAGTGAACTAATTCAAAAAAATTTAATAAAAAATCTAAAAGAAAATATGAAAAATATAAATTAAAATTTTATTCCAGTAATAAATCTCAATTTTAATATATTAATATGTGTTTTATAAAACAAATTATCACTGAACAAAAAAAAAATACAATAAAAATCTCGTTCATAAGCGTCAAGCGTATGAAATTTAATATGAACTTTTGCAAATTGTATTTTGAAATATAAGAATTCAACGGCCAAGAAAATAAACTGAATTAAAAATTATATTACAAAATTTTCTCTCTCTCATGTGAATTAAAAAAAAAAAAATTTTCCATTCATATTTGCGCGGGTGTAAAGTTGGTCTATAATGAAATTTCAAGAGTTATCTTTTATATATTCATATATGGTGGCTCTTTTTTTCCAAAAAATTGGAAAAATTAAAAAAAAAACCTTCAATTTAATAATTATTTAAATTTTATTTTATTTTGAAATTTTATTTTTTTGGAGCAAAAAAATTTTCTTTTCTTTGAATCTATCATATAGACTTTGCAAGAGTGGAATCCTTTTTCAACTGTGTCAAAACTTGTTTTTCAAAACGCGTTTACGGTGACATCCGGAGCAGTAATTTTGTGCTCCTTGTTTACTAGTTCACCAACTGAACAAAAGCGAAAATACAAGAGGGAAACTGACAAACTAGAAACTTTTAATTTTTCCGTTTGCTAAAATTGACAATAAACTCTTAAAATAAAAATAAATTTAAACGCCTGAGAATATGTTGTAAAAAATAAAAATATATATTTTAAAAAATAAAAAAATATATTTTAAAAAATAAAAAAATATATATATTCTAGATATACTAAAAAAAAATTTTATTTGATTGACTATTATTAAAAAAATATTTACTTGAACCAACTATAATTTTTGAAAAATTGAATTAAATGAACTGTATTTGAACCAATAATTTCTTTGTTTGAAACAATAAAAATAATAATATTTTAAAACATTTTAGATTAAAATAATAATATTATTTAATAGAAATAAATATTTATTTAATAATAGTCGATTATTTGAATCAAATAAATTTTTTTTTTTTTTCAAGGAAATATTCTTAAAAGATATCCTTATTTTGAGAATAAATTGAAATATTTTAAATACAAGACCCAAATTACTCTGAGTAAAATGTAAATTATCTAAAATATAGTCAAAAGCTTTTTTTTTTAAGGTTTTTAAATATTCTATCTGTATATATATATAGTTTTAAACTCGAAAACGAAATGAAACTAATCAAATAATCTGGTTTAACCTCAAAGTGCTTCTTCAAGCGAAATTTCACTTTCATGTAATAAAATAACTAAAAGACGATGTTCCATGTTTGCTAAATTTCTCAAGTATATACATCTAAATCATAATAATTAATTAAGATCAATTACCTGGTTAGCAACAACTTAATGGCCTTCCGCATCAAATTCCACTCTTTTTTTTATATATGCTGCAACATCCAATATGAGATTTATCTGAAAAAAAAATTTTTTTTTAGTTATTTTTGTAAACTTTTAAATATATTTTTATTAATTAATTGAAAAAATAAAAGAAATTTTTTTTTTAAATAAAAATATACAAAATCTTATTTCTGAATCTGAATTATTTTTGAATGATATAATATGAAATATAAAATATGAAATACGAAATTGTGAATATTGAAAAAGGAAAAATATTCAAAGAAAATGTACCTATTTCAATCAAAAATAAAGTTTCATATTTCAAAAAAGTTTTTCCGATTTAAATCCGATTTAAATAACGAATATAATAAAAATAAATACAAAATAACAAATATGCGTTATACTTTATTCATGTATAAATTTAAATTTTTACTGTCAAAAGAATAAAAAAAAAAATCGGCGTTTATGTAAAATATTTGAATTTTTCTAAAAAGATTCCAACTTCAAAGTAATAAATATATTCATTATATATATATATATATTTTTTTTTTTATTTATTATTTCTATTTTTTATTTCTTTTTATATTTATTTTTTATATTTGTTTTTTTTTCTAATAGAAAAAACGTGTATAAAAAAAAAGAAAGTTAAACATAAATTTTGCGATAATTCTATAATCAACATGATTTCTGTATAAATAAATATAACTAAAAATAAGCAATTTACACGTATAAAAGGTTTCAAGATTTTTTTTGTATTAGCACACGATAAAAATGTCTAACAATATATGATCCTTGAAAAAAAAAAAAAAAAAAAAAATCTGACGTTGCAAAAAAAAAAAGTCTTGCCTGTTGCATTTGCAGTCATGTATAGCCGCGTCGAGATTATAATAGCTAAC